TATACCTGGATATCATGCAAGTTTTAAAAAATAAGTCTTATGAAAACCATATCCAAACACCAGCTGACATGTTCTCTCATTTAATTCTTGAAAAAATCCAATGAGGTTGATACTATCTCCCCACCCTCCAAGCAAATAAGCAAACTGAGGCTGGGAAAATTTAAAAATTCACCTAAGATTATACAATTAGGAAGTAAACTAACTGAAATCTGGAGGCACCTAAATTCATGTTTCCCCCCTACTCTTTGCTTTAAAAGGAAGAGAAAGAAAGAGGAAAAAATAGATGAAAGGATGGAAGGACGGGAAGAAAGCTTTCTACAGCCAGATATGGCAGGGTACCCATCAGCGCCAAGATCCCCTGGGACCAGTCCAGAACTTGCCTCCCCCTACCCTAAGAGTCTGTTCTAAAGCCAAATCGTACCTTAAAGCCACGTTTCAAACAACCAACAACTCCCCCTAAAGCGTATCCCAGTTCATCGCTAAGAAGTAACAAGTGCACACAGCTGTGTATTTTCCTTGAACTCCAGAAGGAAAGTCTGAGAACAGCCAGAGCTGAGTGCACACAGGTGGCATTTGTGTTGGCTTTTATTGAGACACATGAGTCTTGTTTGCCCTTTAATAACCTATGAAAAGAACCACCAAAAATTACCAAATTACAGCCCCTAAAAATGACAAATGAATAAAGTGTGTAAGATTTCTTATCCAAAATTAGAACAAGGAAACCTCACAACATAATGAAAATCATTCAGACAATACCTGGGAGTAATTGCAGGCAGACGCGACTTCTCCCCAGAAGGTAATCAGCTCATAAGCATTAATCATCTTTTCCACAGTATATGCTTTTATAATAGGGTTTAATAAGGCCTTCAACAATAGGCCCAGATTTAATGAATGGTATCTTAGGCAGTGAAAAGTAAAGCATTTTGCGTTGTCTCTGCTTTTCACAGGCGCCTGTCTGTATTCCCCATCCCTGGGAACTTTATTTCTCAGCAGTGTTATTAGTTTTTGTTCACAAACGCAGTTAGTTAACCTTTGCCAATAACCCACCATGTGCCGGGTGGTCTGCGAGCCTTTCACTAGGGTTGTCTTGTTTAATTTCCCAGGGATAGAGGCAGGATTTTGAAAGCCAAGCAACCAGGAAGATGAGAGCCAATCTCTTCTCAGCCTACAGGGAAGCCAGTTTCCGGGAGGAGAACTCGGAGGCGTCCGGAGTTACCGAGAAGGACTAGGAGCTGGCCTGGGGCAGCGCACGCGGGCCAAGAGGGTCGGGTGGGCTTGAAGGGGGAATCACCGGGCAGAAATGCGATCTGCGTCCCCTTACTCCCCTCCTCGGTTGTGCATCCTCCCTGCACCCACCTCCTCCCTCCAGCTGTCACAGATCTGCGCTCCGAGCCTCCTGGCCCTGACCACATCTCCGTGGAGAAGTCGGGCGGACACTGCAAGACTTTTCTTTCACTTTGGGGAGGAGAGGTGGAGAAACGAGGGGCGGCCCTCGCCACTCCCTGCAACATCCATCTCCCCAGCCTCGCTCCTGCAACAAGTTGCCCCTCCGCTTGCACGCTGCGAAGTGACAGCGCTGGGCATCAGACTGGAGAGGGAAGGACATGGCCTGTGGCAGTGCCATGGGAGATGGCGGACACGACCCTACAGTCACCAGGAAAAGTGTCCCTCTTCCCCATCAATGCCCCTCATCGCTCATTAAAGCTCACGGAAGACCTCTGTGACGGCGGGGGCGGATGTCAAGAAATGTGTGGCGGGGATCGATCTCACCCCCTCCATCCCTCCCCGCAGGTGAGGCCGCGGCCCGACACCTTGGGTCCCAAGTCATTTATCAGACACATTGGCATAGGCTCTTAAAGAGCGTCCCAGAAGAATGGGGCCAGGGGACTCCCGGGGGGCGGTGGCTACTGCAGAGAAGCCAGAGAACTCCCCAAGGAGCCGTCAGCCCGGCCCAGCTTGACCCTCGAAAATAAACCTCAACAAAGTGTGTTGTAAACCAGCGAAGAACCCAAAAACCTCCCGCGAGTTTCCTCCTGCAGGCAGTTGAGAACCCCATGGACCTCTCCAAGGAGCTGTCCGCCTGGCTGGCCGTGCCTCAGCGTCCCCCGGGCCGCGAGGGCTCCCACCACCCTCACCCAAATCCCACCTATTGCAGGCTCGGGAGCCCAAAGGTGCGGACAGCTGTTGCCACCGCATCCCGGTCCCCGGACTGCGCCGAGCCAGAGGCGGCTAGGGCCCGGGTGCCGCGCCCCTCCTTACCTGGCGCTCGCTGGGCCCCGGCTGGGGCATCCGCCGGGTGCGCGCGGCTCCGAGCGCTCGCTGCACACCTGGTCGCCGCCGCCGCCGCCCTCCCGGCCCAGCCCTGGCCGCCGCGCTAGCGCTTCATGTCGCAGGGGGGCTGGCCGGGGGCCCCGGGAAGCGTGTCCAGTTGGTGGCTGCTGCTCCGGCTCTCGCGGCTCGCCAATGGCTCCCCGCCCTCCCCCGCCTCGCGTCCGTGCGCCCTTCCTCTGCGGCCGCCCTTTTCCCTCCGCTCGGTGAGACCGGCCAAACTGGTTTCTCCGCTCTGGGGAGGTGCCTCTAGTCTCCCTCCAGCAGCCGGAGCCGCACCGTGGGGCTGGGGCAGGGGCTGGGGGCGGGCCCGCCGTCTGCCCTCCTTCTGTCCCTCCCCGGGGCGGGGAGTGGCTGGACCGCGAGCCCCGAGGCTGGCTGGTGCAGCCCAGGTCCAGCCAGGCGTCCGCCGTGAGCCCTGTAGGCTAGTGAACGCGCCCGGAGGTGACCCTCCTGCGCCCCTGGCCTTGCCCAGCCAACCACTGGCTCCGGCGGGCACTCTGGTCTCCCCCAGGCGCTCTCGCCTGTTCGTGGATCGCAATTGCCACCCCGCCCCACCAGCCTCACGTCACTTTCCCCGTTGCCCTCGCTGGCTTGGCCGCAGCTCGGGGTCGGTGACCGAGCCAGCCCGGAAAACTGGCAGGGCTGTGGCATGCCCGGGACCTGAGCTCCCTCGGTAAGGGGAGCTGTGTCCTGTGGATGCCAAGTCACGTTTTGGGACTAGTCACCGAATGCGCGACATGGTTCGTGGTGCAGAGGGTGAAGGAAGAGACAGTGCCTTAAATACTTCGAGAAACTTATCCCGTAATTGCAGCAAGCAGGGTATTTGCTGAGACCAAATTCTTTCATGTCTATGGGTTTGGAGTCTAAAGGTATAAAAAGCGGCGGCAGGTGAACCACGCGGTGTGGTTGGAAACTCTGGACTCCCGTGCCTCTGTGCTGGCTGGTGCTTGTGCATGTGAATCCCGCGCTTTCCGGGAGTATATACGAGTATATACGTTACACCCTCCATTCAGTTGACTTTTACTGTTACCTTACTATGCACCGAGTAGTTGGGGTAAGGATAGAGGAATGTCATAGATGAATCAAAGAGTTTGCTAAAAATGTGGTACGGGAGGCAGGTGCGGTGGCTCAGGCCTGTAATCTTAGCACTCCGGGAGGCAGAGGCAGAAGCATCCCTTGAACTCAGAAGTTGAAGACCAGCCTGGGCAAGAGCGAGACCTCTGCTCTACTAAAATTAGGAAAATTAAGAAAGAAAGAAAATGCAACAGGGGAGATATTCTAAACCAACATTCAGCTACCTACAGGCTCACAGCATTGCTGAGAGTTCTCCCCAACTGGGACCTCAGGGAGACTTCACAGAGGAGGCCATGCTTGCGGTGGGACCCAAAGATGTACAGTTTTAGGGATCAGACTCGCATGGAGAGCAGGTAGCCCACTGATTGGGTCTTGTCCGACATTGTTAAACCCAAGGCTGCCCCCACGTTTTCTATTCAATAGTCCCACTTGACCTTAGCACTAGGTAGTGCTGGTCAGTTGTTTAGCCTCTCTGAGCCTCAGTTTGCTTATCTGCAAAATGGGATTGGACCACATGATCTCAAATGGTTCCTTCTAGCACTTATATTCTGTACCCAGCAACAGAGCAAAGGTAAAGATAAGAGGCAAGAGAACAAGGGCCTGATTAGTGAGGGTGGGTAAACCAGTCTGCTGGAGGCCGGTGGTAATGCATGAGGCCTAAGGGAATGGTGAAGGTAATGCATGAAGCCTTGGAATGCCAGGCTAAGAGGTTTTAACTTGGTTTTGATAGCACTTTCGAGCCATTGAAAATTTATGACCCCAGCAGTGACACGACCAAGGTTGGGGACAGTTTGAAAAAGGATAAGCCAAAGATAGGAGTTACATTAGAGAGGCCAGTACAGCAACATAAAGTGGGCCTGTTGGGGTCACAAGTGGAAGTAAAAAGGAGAGATTCAAAGGACACCATGGGAGAGAAACGACCAGGGCACGGAGTAGCCGGAACCTGTTGCTGACTATCAAGGGCAGCATGGAAAATGAGCCACGTTCCCAAGATTGGGTGGTGGCTTGCTGGAATGGTAGAGTCCAGCAGAGGAAAGGCCCTTGGGAGGCCTCCACCCCTATGGGAGAAATGACTGCAGACCTAGAAGGCAGGAGAGGACTCTGGTTTAAGGAGGGGTCCCCTTTTTACAGATCCACTATCAATTGCTCAATTTGTTGCATAGAAGAAACTACACTCAGACACATCCAATCCACACCTGTACGTAGAGCTGATAAATACCACTCCAGTGCCTGCATTTAACACCACTGTGCAGATTTGAAGCTAGGTTTCTCCTCTCCTCTTGCAGGCCAAGGGCAGAGGGGCATGGCAGGTCTTCTTTCAAAGATTCATTCATTCATTCAACAAATATTTACTGAGTGCCTGCTATGTGTCTGGCATTTGTTCACTGATGTATCCAAGCAACTATAACAATCAAATTATATCTTAAAAGGTGACAAATTCTTTGAAAAAATGGAATAGCCATGATTGGGAGGGGGCAGCTTCTGGGGTGCTATAAAAGTTCTGTATCTTAACCTGCATAGTGGTTATATGAATATACACCTATGTAAGAGGCCATCAACCTGTACATTGAAGATTTATACATTAAAAAGAAATTGAGCAGGGTTAAGGGATTAGGAGAGGGAATTAATGTGGTCAGGGTAGGCTCCTTAAGAAGAATTGCATTTGAAAAAGGCTTTTGAGAAGGTGTAGTTTCATAGTAGTGAAACAAATTCTTTGAACACCTGTCTTGCATGGAACACACCAGATGCAGGCATGTTCAAACCTTATCCTAACCGCTTTCCCCTCCTGTAAGTAGACGCTGAGTGTGTCAGCTGATGCTGCTGATGAAGGAAATAGGTCATCTGGAAGTTTGGACCCTCCTTTCATCTGAAAGAACCATGTCAAATTTGAGGGTGCCTTGTAAGGTCAATCATTGAAAGTGTCTCACAGGCAAGAAGGATTGATTCTGAAATATGTCTTACATTAGTCGCTGAGAGATGAATTCTTTTTCCTGGCAAAGATCTGACCTCACCAGCTACAGCAATTCTTTCTCAGCATTCCCAGGTGGGATTGAATAAACACTCTGGTTTTATTTAGAAGCCACTCCCATTTAGTTATTGACACCTTTCCCTCACAAGCTGCTGTGGCTCACACCTGTAATCCTAGCATTCAGGGAGGCCGAGGAGGGTAGATTGCCTGAGCTCACAGGTTCCAGACCAGCCTGAGCAAGAGTGAGACCCCGTCTCTAAAAATAGCCAGGTATTGTGGCAGGCACCTGTAGTCCCAACTACTTGGGAGTCTAAGGCCAGAGAATCACTTGAGCCCAAGAGTTTGAGGTTGTTGTGAACTATGATGCCACGGTACTCTACTGAAGGCCACAAAGTGAGATTCTGTCTCAAAAAAAAAAAAAA